CTTTGAACAATCGCTCTAGAAAGCCCTAAACCTTCTACAACCTCTACCTACGCAACAAACTCAATGACTTCTCAGGAAGTCTTCGTTTATGTGTCCACGCAGGAAGCGACTTATTTCCTGTTTGGTCACCTTCTACTGACATGCTATTTTTATTAAATGGGGTCTTTTTAGCCACATTGGTTATATGGCCAGTTTATCCTTTTACAGTAATTTTTGCCCACCCTGTATAGCGAGCGACGTAAGTTGATGAGCTTCGACTGAACATTAAACTGCTCTGATCCGAGAGCAATCTTATTTATAGAAGTCAACGATCTGAGTCCAATGGTATAGTTTCCCACGCAGAAACGTGAACCGTAATCGAGTTTTCACAAAAAGACGAAAGGAGCGGATCCGGGTCATTCGCGGCTTTTCCGAAGTCCTAGGGTACAGTTCATCAACAAACTTCCCAAGAAATCCATTGCTATCCTACCATTGACGACTCCTCTCCGACGGAGGGAGAAGTGGAGACGATACAGTACTGCAGCTTCATCTTTACCCACTTTTTGAATAGAAATTGGTGTCTATGGCGCTGCTTCTGTACTACAGTACAAGGTCACAAATTTCATTCATCGTTCGCAACTGTGTGTATAGTGTACGCCAGAATATACTCCTATACTTAAAGGGTATTGAAATAGGTTCAGAAGTGGCGCCCTTCGCTGAGCTTCGAATGCACGCCAATGCCAATATATCGTAATAGCAAGATACAGGAGTTCATTCCTTCACATCGTTCATTTGAAAATGCCATTCGAAGCACAGTAAGTAAAACAAAACAAAAAAGCTTGCAGACAACCCGAGCATGAAGAAATACACTGGTAATGGAGATTCGGAACAAATAGGAAACCGGAGCTAGTAAGCATTCACAGATGGTCTAGCGGAACATTCCTAAGAGAGAAATCTTCAAGAACATATCTAATCTACAACCTAGTTAAACAGAAGTTGATTATAGAACCGAGAACAGTGCAGGAGACCGGTTCGACACATCTCGGTAGTCCTGAAAAATGAACGTAAAGTGTCAGACTCAAAAAACTGATGCCTGTCCCTTGCTTTACTCGAGGTATTTCCCGCTCTGGCGCGATCGACCTACAGAAAATCATGACTAAAGAGTGCTTGAGGCAATTTGGAAGTGATGAGCTGTGAAATATGTTCATTAAGACATCTGAGGTTGGAAGTGGTCTGGAAAAGGAGAGAAAGAAGGAAACCCCCAACCACACCCCAAATAGGAACTCATCTCTCTCAACCGCAATCCTCCTTAGGATAAAGAAGTTGGACGAGTTGGACAGCTCCGATTGCTCCAGTGCTAATGATACTGCGCCACAATGCAACCGCTGCCTCAAGTGCGCCCACGCTCTGCCAACTACTCCGAAGCAGGGTCAACCCTACGTTGTTACTAGTAACAACGGGGGGTCGTACCTGGTTGAGTTATAGGAGGGGGGGGTCGTATCCGCTTCAGTCGCGTGAAAGTACATGTGAGTTTGTGGTGAAAGTGGAGTTTTCACGAGTAGTAGGCTAGGTATTGGAGAGTTGTAATACCCCCCCCGTTCCGCCCCGACGCTTCAGAGGAATGGAAAAAGTGGGCGGAGTTTGGGGTTGAGTGGTACCAGAATTAAATACTATAGAGAGGAATATGGTGGTCGAGGTGTGGAAAAGGGGGTCGTACCAAGTCCACCTTGGGGAGGGGGGTCGTAAAAATTTTTGAAAAAGTAACAACGATAGGACTGACCCTGCTCCGGGGAAGGGTGCTTGCGGAGTGTGGGTTGTCGGCGGACGGAGCTTCTAACGCCTTGTCCGCGCACTTTTCAGGCCGCAGAAAGGCCGACATCAACGGGGTCCGCCTGTTACTCCGCCGGGATCAGAACACGCTGAGCGCGCTTTCAAAGTAACAGTCCCACAGGGTTTTTATCTTCGAATAATGGGTTGAGCATCGCTAGCCCTAGATCAAAAAACATAATATCATCTCACAGCAAACGTGGCTAGACAGAGGCGCTGAAGCGTCAGCGTCCACATAATTCCACCACACCGTATTCCGTCCAAATGTTGAAGTCCCTCCTGATTGATTCCAAGGTCTCTCATCACGGATTTCTTTCCCCTTGTACTGTCTGCTTCTTGGGAATCTCCACAATCTAGGAAATGGACCTCTACTCCCCCCCCTCTGCTCCCACCTCTGCCTTCATCTTTGGAGCAAAATAACCAGCTACCGGCTTGATCCTGGCAAACGTCAACTTAAAACCACACACCAAACGGTTCCGTCGCAATAGAACTTTAGGAAGTGAATTTCAGCACCCCTCACTGACTTCTCTCCGCCTTCTAGGTCTAGCAGCGAGGACGGCAATCGACCCACAGTGCGTGTGGTCCGCATAATATTCAATGGGGTCTCATCCAGTAATTGGGTGGGGCATGTGGCGCAGTAGTTCATATTGCATGAAGTAATCTAATTTTTTTCAGGGGAGGGAAGCTCCGGGGTGGGTGTAAAAGTTTAAGCGAAATGGTTCACGCACCCCGGGGATTCCCTCCCTTGCAAAAATTGGAATTTCTGTAGCCGGCAAGAACTGTCACACCCCATGCCTCCCCTCTTACTGGATGAGACCCTCCAAATGTAATAGATCATGCTGCCAATGGAAGAGAAAATACCATGTGCGCAAGTTGGAGGCATTTTTGATGTCAGACATTCTGCTAACATACAGTATTGTTCAGATAGGAAGGAAAAAATGGGGACTCAGTTCCAGCTCACCTAACAACGCTCATTCGATCAGCCCTTTCGAAATTCGACCGTACTAGTTCGTAATACTGTCCATCGCTGAGCACAATTGAATGCAGTTTCAGACATTTCATTCGTAGGACGTCGATGAATTTGCTGCAAAATATAACGCATAAGAAATCGATAATATCACTATTTTTACCGTATCCATATTAGAGTTCTCACATAGATTGCTAGCCAATTCCCAAGAGTATCAATCGATTAGTGGAGGATTTTTTTTTTTAAAATGGGGCAAAAAAAACAGACAGGTGATGACCTTGGAGTTTTACCTGGATTTGTCCGAGAACCTCAGTGTGTCGTCGTCCCATCGAATTTCCAAGCGAGTCAGCCGAGGGCAATTCTGGGCTATGCAATCGATAAATTGATCAACATGGATTTTAGCAGCGACTTTGGGGCAGCAATCCTCAGCGATGCCCATTACGATAACTCTGAAATAAGGTAATATTCAACTCAGCGTTCAAAAACTGGTAATCGATTATCAGGAGTGTAGTGCTGTGCTGGTTACGTGTTATGGACTTTCTAATGGTTCTGGAAGTTATAAATCACAGAGTTCAGCGAAAAGACTGATAACCTTAGAAATCGATAGGAGTAGAAGCATTAAAAATAGTAGGAAAGGGTCGAGAAGAGGTGTTCGATCACAAAAATAAGCAGAGGAAGAGTTGCAAATATGTAATGGAGAAAACCTCTAAAAAGGGGGTTAAATGGAAACGAAAATGCGAAAGGTGCGGACTAAAAGCAGCGATCACGCTGGCTGGAGGGCGGTACGGTTTTGATGGCGTCATTGCGCATCATTGGTGGGTAGGAGGACCTTTAGAGGCAGGCCTAACCACCACTCCAGCCCGCTGAGTAGTCTTGTACATCAACAGTACTCAATGATATCCCCCAACAAGTTCTAATCACTGCCTTGAACCAGAATAAATAAACTAAATAAAACATTTCGAATCGAAGGAGCATAATTGTGAATATTGTAAGCGAAGTATGCTGACCAAAAAAAATAGACTGTTAGCAGCATGGTAGGGCGCCTTACTCCCAATTAGGATGCGCCTTGCATCCGACTTCCATCGTAATTG